GCAGATCGGCCCCAAATGCTGACCGGAGAGGGTTCTTTCCCTGAATCTTGTCTCTCGTTGCTTGCTCGGGGTTGGGGGCCTCTGAGCTTTAGAAGGGGGGGAAGGAAGGGGGGGGGGGGTCAGTGTCTCGCGTATGGCTCGTCGGTCGGTCGGTCGGTCGGTCTGCCGTCCAGGCTGTGCCTGCTTGACCCTCTTTGTTTCGGACCCTTTAGTATTTTCCTTTCGTTTGTCCACCTCAAGTCCAGCTCCCTTGCCCACTTTCCCCTCTTTCGATGATTTTGTCAGCTGAGTGTGCACCCAGGCAGGATCGGCCAGTTCCGACTGGGACGTCGTCGCCTGAAGGGATGAAGTTGAGCTACGGCCTGGAGACCCGAAGTCAGAACGATACAGGTGAGCAGCTGTCAGCCGATTCGTCGTTCAATCGTGGCAGAAGCGCTGGTTTGGAAGAAGGGTGCCGCTCGCTGAGACGATGGCTTTGCTTCTTGCTTGAGCAGTCTTGAATAAGGTAGGTAGGCGTGGGTGTTGAGCCCGTGGATATCAGGTTGAGTAGTAGTCGGCAGGCAGGCAGGAGCGATTAGATGAGCGGAGAATGAGCAGAAGCTGACGGAAGCACCAAGCACCGTCAGTGAGGTAAAATCACTGACGAGGAGCAGTGAGATCAACCACCGTGACAGAAACTGGGATGAGGAGTAAAAGGCGGCAGGATCACCTCCTGGATGGAACGGCAGGAGGAAGTACAAGAGTGAGGCGAGGCAAGCACGGATGGGCACAAGGGAGAAGGAACGGGCGATTGGCAGGTGGGAAAGTGCAGGAGAGCGGTCCCTTCTGCATTTGTATCCCGTCGCAGGACGGCCGCCGCAGTGGACGCGACACAACACCCCGTCTGAGGTAGGATGGATCACCTCACCTCGGGCTTAATCAGGCCTCCCGCTTGGTCAGGGGACGACCGAGTGGTTGGATGGAAGGAGGGTTTGACGGGACGGGGTGGACGGGTGGATATCGTATTGGTGAATGGTGACAGTCAGCAACACCCAGCGTGTATTAGCCGTGCGTTGGCAGGAGACCGAGGCAGAGGTACAGACGGACCTGGCTCTGAACGCTGTACGCTGTACGCTGTACGCTGCTGCTGAAGGAAGGGACGAGGGAGGCAAAAAAGCGGCCGGCGGTCGATAGCCGCATGTGGACGGACAGTCAGTCAGTCAGTCACCAGAGGTCACAGGTCGAGGTGCAGGCCGCAGCAAGTTTGTATTGGCTGGGGAGGGGGGCCGTCGGCAGGGACAGAGAAACATGGATACGGACGGACACTGGACACACCGATGGCGAGGTGGTTGTCCCAGACGGTCATGGCATGGTTTACTATGGTCTGGTTCGACATGGTGCCAAACATGAAGGTACTGTCCAGTCATGGACTGGCCCAAGGCCCACGTCGAGAGGTCCAGTTTGAGAGAGAGGCGTCGAGACGGAGCAAGGACATGGTTCCGTCCATCTCTCGGACTACTGGCAGCTAGCAGCAGCCTGACCCGACGCTGCCAGCGATAGCAGTGTCTCGTTTCCGCCGATCGGCCACCTCACTGAAAGCATGCAGGCACTTGCTCCCCCATCACTCACTCGGCACTCACCTTATCTGAGGTGCGAGGGGAAGGCGAGTTCACATTTCATACCTTCCTTGCCGTTGGCTGCAGGGAGGATAATCACTCACCGTCGGGCTTTCCTTGCTCATAACGGCCAACAGGACATGGACAGGGCCCATGCGTGGGACAGACGGGGATTTCTTGCCTCGCCGCCGAAAACACAAAAAGACGTGATGCCTGCCTGTTCGTGGTCAGTCCCCTGGCCATCATGGTACACTTGCTGCTAAATACCTAGCTAGATGCCTAGATACCTACCGAACGTACCCGACTATCGTTCACAGAGGGGGGTGGCAGGCGTGCAGGCGTGCAGGCGTGCAGGCGTGCAGGCGTGCAGGCGTGCAGGCGTGCAGGCGTGCAGGCGTGCCCAAGAGGCCGTCCAACCCACTAAAACTCAGCTGGCGACAACCCCTCTTTTCAGGTGGCTCGCTTGGGGCGAGGAAGCGAGACATTGCAGGTGGTACTTCACAGTGTTCGATCCTACCAGGTCTGACTGACCTCGTCATTTGGGAGACAAGATTCGTTTGCAAAAGCCCAACGGAGACGACACGCCGCACTAGAGACCAAGCAGAGGAACAGGCTCTGCCTGCCGCCGGATCCGAGACCCAACCTGCGATCTCCTCGTTCATGTGCCGACCGTACGTTCTCGGCATCATTTAAGGTGCGCGTCGACTATTTCCTGCTCCTCTCGAGCAAGGAAATCAGTACGCATCATCATCACAATGCCCTCATACTGCAGAAACGACGAGTCACGGACTGCCTGGGCACCCTGACGGACAGGAGCACCCCAGTCGAGTACGGTGTTCAAAGTTCATCACGGCGACAGGCGCACGACGACGGAGCATGGTCATTCATACCCCTCCTTTCCGACCTTATCCATTCGCACCGGCCTTTCATCGCATCGGCAACCGACCCAACCAAGTTGGACAAGCGGATGACTTAAGAATGATGGCGTTTTGCGCTTTCCCATCCATCTGGCTAGCCTTCCAACTTTCTCATTCATTACCACGCCTCGCCACCACGCCCGCAAGCTAAGTAGGGCGTGTCCGCTACGTCCAGTGAATGCAGGAATGGATGGGCACGCACTCGAGAACGATCTCTTCCATGCTCTACTACAATCACTCCCGCGGCCACCCCACGCCCCCTGCTCATGATGGTGCCCCTCGATCCTCGCCTTGATTGGACGGCAATTCGATACGGGTCTTGACTCGGATTACCATTGGCTTCTTGGCCTCGACCTTCTCGATCCCTGGGGCCGATCATCTCACCACCTGCGACCCCTGCCTTGTCGTCATGCTTCAATCGACTGACTCGCCCGCGAACGCAGCCAGCTGACACGACGAGACGGTCTCATCATGAGACCAGGAACCAAAACAATCCGTCTTGCGACCACTCTTCGGCGATCCGCAAAACCTTGGCCGTTCCTCCCCTGTGCGAGGCCAACCGCGGAGTTAGCCGGCCGTGCCTATATACTCGTTCTGTAGGTCAGCATGGGGGCGCTGGATGGACATGCAGGCAGCCAAACATTTTTGGGCGAAACAAAAACAGCACGACCAACTGACCTCGACGACGGATCTCCAGCACGCACATAATACACGTCGACACATCAGCCGTGGTCTATCCCAACAAGACACATCTCGGTGCCAACACGTGCACGCCACTCACTGGCCTCACCGACTACGAATCTTGTTCTCGCCACCGACCGACACCACACGGCAACTGGGCCGATGCGTCTTGGGATAATAATGCTTCGCCCGCTCTGCCCAAGACGGCACCGTCTACGGGGCCTACCCTCAACAATGCGCCTCCAACCACATTCCAGGATCCTCGCTACGGTAGACTAGGTTTTACAACGGCAGAACACAAAGAGAAACATGACTGACTTTCTGCCTCCATCGATCCTGGGTTCCCGGTCCAGCTCGTCGAATCTCGCCCTGCCTTTCTGCCTTGCCAGCCAGGAAGCGGAGCACGACAGCAACACATGGTCCCAAGCGACGCAACTCCATGACACTTCTTCTTTGCTGGTCAGACCAGATGACCTCTCTCGACCATGTTCTCGCCCACGCGACTTCTGACCCCTGCCGGTGAGACGCCTGGAAGATACCCCTCTTTGTGCCAACACCCCCAGGGTGCGTCTCCACCTCCAACTGCAAGCACTTAAGAAAGCTGACCCCGCCCAAGCCCCCTCTGTTCCCGCTCCGCGCGCCGTGCCCGGATTTGTGCCCCCTCGACGCTTCTGCCCCTCCACCTTCAAAACACCCCAAGCCAGCTCGCCAGCTCGCCTGACCCCGTCTCCCAACCCGACACGTCTCGTTTCACGCTCGCTGTGCGTTTAATCTACCACCATTCGCCTTTCTCCCGAACGAGGTTGGCTGCAGGGCCGTGCCATGCTGTCATATTGGCATGCCTGCCCTGTTGCTGCTCTGCTGTCTCTCTCTGACTGCCTTTTCACTCTCAGCCTGTCTCTCCCATCCTCACTTTTCACGTCGCCCACGCTGCCGTGCCACTGAAACACATATCGTCACCACCCAGGCAGCCAGCACCGGCCAGTCCAGATGCACAAGGTGGACGCTTCTTCTCGGCAGCATACGTCAAGGAAGACTGCCCAACGCCTCCGCCTCTTCTCCTACAGCACCGCCCACGCGACTCGCAACCCCCCGGCAGAATCCACTCACCCTCGCCATCCAAACAGCGGTCAATCTCTGGTCGCTCTGCAAGGGCACGAAACAGGACGGTCGTTCGGGCAAGAGCAGGGACACGATAACAACAACAAGCCCTTTTTTTCGCACAACCGGGACACTGACACCCCCCCAAGCTCGGACATTGGGCTTCCAACCAACCCAAGCGTACACCCACCTCAGCCGGGCGGACAGCTGTGGGCGGGGTCGCTGCCGCACCACTTTGGTGACAAGGCACTGCCGTTTCGCCCGCTTCAATTCTGACATCCGTCGATTCGCTCATCGATGACCAGAACTCATATAGTTTGGCCATCCCACTCACGGTGAGGTCGTGAACCGATGGCAGAGTAAGCCCAGAGGCTCATGGCTTCGCGTCTCGCCCACAGTATTGGGCTTCCAGCTTCCTCCAAGCGGGGGTAACCACAGGTCACAAGTTGCAGAGGGATAACGTGGCGACACAACAGCACGAATCTCAAAATTCTACGCGGCCACACCGGGACAATAGCGATGAGTGGCTTCGCATCGAGATCAAGCGGTCTTTCGTTCCACGCCTGCCACTCGTCTCCAATGACTCGACTATTCTCCGGCACTCGCCAGCGATACTGATGTTAGCTCGCAAGGTGTAAGCGTGCCGCTGTAGCCGATCCCTTCCATGCCCATTCCATCGTGACTCGTAATCCTGTGTGGACTTGAAATAAAGTACAAAAAAGCCCGCCCTGTCTGCGAGGGTTTCCGTGCTCGGCAAGAAGCCAAGACTTGATCGTCTCATGCGTGGATAGCTCCTTGTAGTAATCAATCACGACCGTGTCTCTCTCTCTTGTCCGCAAGCCACCCCAAGTTTCACTGGTAGTGGGTAGGCCTGAATCTCTTGAAGTGATCTCGTGAAAATAAATTATGCGCACGATCCCAAATGCTCGGAGGCGCTACCGATCAAGAAGCATGCATCCATCCTTCACTTCTTCGGCAAGCGATACTTTCCGCCTACAAGCTCGAGCTCGCCCTCGGCCATTTTCTCAGCCAGGAATTCCTGCAACTCCTCGTTGCTCCAGGGGAACCCGTCTGGGATAAGCATCTTCATCATCATAGCCATCTGACCCAACGGCATTGTGGGCGCCGAGTTGGTCAGCATGCCAAAGATGAATTGCCAGTAGACTAGACGTCGCTCCTTTTCCTGCGCATCCATGGCGCCCCTGCCGGTCTTGGAGGGCGACACCGTGTTGTGCGGCGGCGCGATGTCGTCATCGTCGAGCGCTGGGGACGAGTCACGGGGTGCCGGAGCCGTGTCTTCTTCGAGGCGTTCGAGGACGACATACGTGTCGGGGGCGACTTCGCGCAGGACGCGCTGCGACGCCCAGAAGACGAGAGCCAGGCGAATCGTGTCATCATCCATCTGGAGTGTATCTTCGAGCTGATTGACTGTACGCTGCGCGGGAGACGTAGAGAACCCGTCATCTTGGAAGGCGTAGATGACGGCCGCCTCATATGTCTTGCATTCCTTATCAACGGACCTGTCTTCCAAATCCAGGTGCACGGTTGCCGTGCCGAGGTTGTTGAGCCAGGTGAGCTTACGCGAGCTCTTGAGGCCTTCGTAACGAGCGTCGTAGCGGCTTTGCATCTCAATGACGGGCTGCGGAAGCAGGAAATGCTCGCGGTCGAGTGTGGGCCAGAACAGACGTGACAAGATCTTGGTGTGATATGAGAGCAGCATTTTCTGCTCCCACTCGGCCATTTGCATCTGTCTCGTGATGACCGTGTCGACCCTCGTCGAGTCTTGAATGTCCTTGAGCATGACATCGCAATTTTGCAGTGCATTCTCGCCAAATTTCTTTTTGAGAAGGTTGAGCACCTTGACCTCCTGAGGAAACTCGGTCTGCTTGGACAGGAGCCGTTCAGCGATGATAGATTGGAACTCTTTGATGAATATGTCCTGCGAGCCCAGCGCGTTGATCAGCGTACCGATAACGTCCTCCGACTTGGGCCGCTTGTAGTTGACGCCGGCGTCGACAGGATCGGGGATCCAGTCCATGTCGTTCCAGTCGAGCTCCTCGTCATCGGCCGTCTGCCGGCGCTGCTGCGCGGGATCGTTCAGCAGCGCGGCCAGCTCTA